GCCTCTTATAGGAAGCAACCCACCTTGCAGTACCCCCAGCAGGGCAACTGCAGGGTCACTGGAGACATGTCCAGGGAGCTGGCCAGTTTCCCTCCATGCAGAGAGGCACTTGTTCCACATCAAGAACAGCAACACATTTAGGGTCATCTTGACTAAAATGGCTAGAATTGAAGTTAATGAATTTAAAACAACAACAAAAACAAAGCTCTAATTAGGAAGACTTATTTCCTACTTGGCACTCTGGTATAAATTGGGGGAAACTCATCTGTACAGCTATTTATCTCACTATTCTTATATATGCTTTACAGAGAAGTTTGTGGATGATACATGTTATGCAGTTCACTCATAAAACATAGTTGGAAGAGGCAAATAAGTTGGCTAAGACCAAATCTAGACTAGTAGTTCCAGATGCCACCACTGGGCCTGGACAGAGTTGATGGACAGGCTGGAGATACCCTGGAGGTACCCTCACTCCTTTCCTACCTCCCTGCTCCCCATCAGTAGCCTTCTTAGTGCCCCCTTCACCTCTTTGTTTCTGAGAGTATAGATCAGGGGGTTCAGGAGTGGTGTGACAATGCTGTAAAAGAAAGTGAGGAACTTCCCTTGGTCCTGGGAAGAGCTGTGCCCTGGTTGCATGTACATGTAGATGATGTTTCCGTAGAAAAGGGAGACCACAGTGAGATGGGAACCACAGGTGTTAAAAGCCTTCTGTCTCCCTGATACTGACGGAATTTGCAACACGGCCCTCACAATGTAGCCATAAGAGACAAGGATAAACACCAAGGGGGACAGCACAATACCCACAGCCAGGACAAAGACAATCCCTTCAACAGCCATAGTGTTGGTGCAGGCCATCCGGATCAGGGCTGGCATCTCACACAGAAAGTGGTCCACCTTGAAGTGCCCACAGCGGGGCAATCCCAGGGTCACTGGAGACATGGCCAAAGAGTTGGCCATTCCACAGCCCCAGGCTACAGAAACAAAGCCCCGGCACAGCCCAGGACGCATAACAGTCATATAGTGTAGGGGCCTGCAGACAGCAATGAACCGGTCATACGCCATGACAGCCAGGAGCAGGCACTCCACACCTCCCAGACACAGGAACAGGAAGAGTTGGAAAGCACAGCCTACATAGCTGATGGTTTTGTCATGTCCATGAAGATTGTAGAGCAGCTGGGGGATGGAGCTGGTGGTGAAACTGAGGTCCAGGAAGGAGAGGTGGGTGAGGAAGAAGTACATGGGGGTGTGAAGATGGGGATCCAGCCGGGACACCACGATGATGGTTATGTTGCCAACCAGGGTCAGGAGGTATGCGATCAAGAGGACCACAAAGAGGATCCTTTCCAGATGGGGGCAGTCAGAAAACCCCAAAAGGATGAAGTGGTTTGGGGAGCTGTCATTGGTTCTGTCCATCTTTACTGCACCTGAACAGAAATATTGGTACTAATAATAGGCTATAGTAAGGGAGAACTTACTATAAACCAGGCATTCTTCTCGGCTTTTTACATTTATTTATTCATTTAACCCCAACAACAATAATACAGGGTTGGCACAATTAGTATTACCTCCAAACTTCTAAGAAAGATAACTAAAACGAGTGTGTGTTATGAAAACTGTCACATGTAGAAAGAGGCAGAGGTGTTTTTGG